TTAATCTTCTCTTATAATTTCTACATTTTTCTGGCCACCTTGGAATGAAAGCAATTTAGAATTTTCCACTTTTTTCCATCCAATTCTAAATAGACTCACAAGTTACTGTAAAGAAATCTATATATTTATTTGTTTGGCTTCCAGAAACAAAGACAAAAACAACAACAAAAACCACCACCACCAACAAAAAACCACAACAGTGCCTTTATAAATACCGGTGTTAGCTGAAAGCTTCAGAAAATAAGGCTACTTGAAACAATTAAAAATTTTACCATTTAAAGATTAATTTAATCTGGATTGATAAAACGTGCTTGTAATTTGACCGTTCCCAACGCTCATGCAGTTAGTGTTCTCAGTAATGGATAAAAATAAGTTTTCATATGTGCACATATGTACACACAGATAGCAATGCAGATAATACATAACTAAGAGAAATTCCTCTTGTATATGAGATTTGCCAAGATCCTGCACAGTGGCAGCTGCTTTTTTTCTTTATGAAATCAGATTTGAGACGCTATTTTCACAATTTTTTGCATCAGAGGAAATTATGAGCCTCCAGATACTCATTCTCATTTTTGCATAAAAATGAAGTATATTAAGGTTTATCTACTTGACGTAAAGATGCATTCATTAGTTTGTGTTTAACATAATGCTTTTTTAAAGTGGCATCTAATTACTGCCTTTGCACAGCAGAAATACCTCTGAGGAAATGTGTGTCAGCTGTTTAAGAAATATATCTGCCCATTCTTCTTTAAGAACACGCTAATTGTTCTTTAGGGCTTTACTATAAAATTATTTCTAACTTTTAACTTAAATTTTAAAGGCAATCTTTTCTTAAAAATAGAATAAATTATTCTGACTGCTGTGCTGGTGGTCATTTAAAAATGTTTCTGCTTATGAAAAATGCATAACACTGGGGAGCAAGTGGCATCCCAGTAAGGTTTCACTTAAGTATAAGTTTCATCCACCTCTCCAGATGTGCATGAAGAGATCCCAGCACATGCCAGCATGTTAAAGTCTGTAGTGGGCTATGTCTTTTTTCCAGTTAAGCTATGAAGTACAGTTGGAGATTAGATGGAAAAAAAAATATAAAATTTTTAGAGGAGCTGTAAGACCAGTCTATGTAGAAGACAAGTTTATATTCTTTAGTGTCCATTCAGTATAAAAATACATATTACTGAGGAAAGCACAGGGGAACAGTGTGTACATGTTGGGTCATACGGTTACAGCCATGTACCCGTGCAGAATATCACATTCTGATTCAAGGCATGACACTAATCCCCAGTAACGAAAATGGTGACTCTAACATCTAAATAAAGAGTGACTTGTCCTGCAGAAATAAATTTGTGTCCTTCATGCCAAAGTTTTTTGCACCAACGGACTCCAACCGATGTGACTGACTCCAGCAGACCTCAAGTACCTTCAGGGTTTCGTAGTGTGCACTGATTTTGCTCAGTTTGATTCATTGTTCTCTTCAGTACCCATTCTTGTTTTGGGTCTCAAAAAGACATCTCTCTTTTCTTCCTGTTCTGTCAGAAAGTGGATCGTACTTCTTTTACTTTTGTCTTTTCTTCAGTAACAACTTCAATGAAGAGAACAGACCTACTCTAAAATCAATTTGCATTGCACTCACATAAATTCAAATGATGCCTGTAAGTGAAAAAGCTTCTAACTCTTGATTATTTATTTTGGTATGTTTTGTATTTTCTCTCTCTGGTGTTTGTCTGAATCCATAGTACCCTTATAACACATGTGCTTTCATTATTAGAGTCATCTTCAAAAATTTCGCAGTGCAATATTTCATCAAGTGACAATTCCAGTTCCCAGGGTGCTGCCCCCATAATTTACCAATGCATGGGAAATATGGTCTCAACTCTTCAGGTTTCCTAAGCATCTTTTATTAATTCATACTTTTTGCCACAAGACCACTCAGTAGTGCATACTCTGCACTTGCTGAGGGGTGGTAAAGCCTTTCTCTCTTGAAAAATATTTAAGTAAATAACTGTCAGCTGTGATCTGTAATCTAGCATAATTCATCTGGTATGCTGCATTAGTCATAAGAATTTTATGAAGGATGTGATGGATGCACTAACGATTTAGAACTTATTTCTTTTCCAGTTCTTTGAAAAGACAAATTTAATTCTATTTTGGATAAATTTTAATTTTCTATCCATAATTAGATATGTTATGGGTTCTGAAGTTATTTTTTTTTTCTAAGAATCTTTTTGAAGAAATATCTTCTATCATGTAAAAATCACAAGTTCTTTCTAGAAGGAAATAATTCAATAAAACTGATAAATGACACTCTTATGAAACTATAAATTATTAAATAGAGACAGAAACATAAAATCTAAAGAAACAGCTAATTCCTGTTTCTCCTTCTTTCCTGTAGCTCAGCATTCTCAGTAAGGTGATATATTTTTTATCTGAATTTGTTTTATTTGTCTGATAGATTTCTGGGAAGTATGACCTCTACTGGTGTCTGTAGATTGGGAATATTTTGTAATGTTCACTTCCTTTTCTTGATATTATGTCATGTATTTCTTTGTCTACTTTTGAAACCATTTAGATGCCAAGATGATTAAAGAGGCCCAATTCAGAGCATTTAAATAAGATAAGAGTTTAATATAGGGAAAGGTAATTAGGAATAGAATTAGGATAGAATAGGCTTCTAGTTCCATTGACAACACCAGCAACTTGTTTAACTTCGATGTCTTTTTTGTTCAGCTCCAGTTATCTCTTTGCTTCTCCCTGCTTGGTTTTCTAGATACAGTTTCAGACGTTTCTAATTCATTCAATTTATGAGTTTTATTTCTTAATCCCTTTAGGGTTAAGACCCTATCCCATTTTCTCCATTACTAGCACTTTGCAGTTTTCTCTCAGTTACCCTTGTAATCTTAATTAATATTATTGTATTTGCCATTATGTCATTTCTTTTTCTGTGGAAGCCACAAAAAGAACTACTGGTATAAGGAGACTGAAAAAAAACATGAGCAGAAAATATTAGCAGTTTTCATGTTGGTCTTTGTTTCTGTATTTTTTTTTTATTTTTTTTTAATTTTTTTTAAATTCACAAGGAACAGTAATGTAACTTATACATGTGATTGCCTACAAGGTTGAGTGTATAAGCCTTCATTCTGTCCTTATGAGCCAGAAATATTTACTTATACAACTTAAAATAAACATACTGTTAGCCATTAGGATTTTTAGAATCCCTGTGGCTATCCTGAATTGCTTCAAACCAGCTGTTCTTGTTAAACAATGTGGGGCTGAATCTGAGCCCCTTGACATAATTGGGAAACTGCAGATTCCAGTACATGCTTGTACTGAATTTAACATCCTCTGCTACTTTGTGAAGAAGTGAACAAGTGATAATTGGCTTGGACAGTTTACAGGTCTTCTGAATTTTCCAGAGGAGCTTCCAATGTACTTTATTTACAGATGCTTTTCCTTTGCACAGTTTATGACCATGAAGTCTATTCAGGCAAAAAGATCTGCTTACACAGAAATTAGCTTTTAATAAGATGCTTTGCAGGAGAGTCCACTGTACAGATCCTATTACAAGATAGGAACAGTAGCTGTTTTTGCAAATGCAAATTCTGCAAACCAGCAAATGAGCAGATAACCAGCTTAAAGCGATTTCAGCATGTGTACAAAGCTAGTAAACTGCTTGCTACCAAATTTCACAAACTACTGTACACTCCTTACCTCCTTTTCACAGCAAGCAAAAGAAAAGCTAATTTTTGACTGTGACCCTAAAGAAAGAAAGAAAAAAATGTGAAGGATGGGCTTAATTGGATTGCACCTTCATTCATTTAATTAACCTGCCTGACTTGATCACACCACCCTGCATAGAGCAGAGCTTTGTTTCCTCTTCGGTTCTTTCACCTGATGAAAGGTACCCTTGCACTTTCTTTTCCTGGTTTTAACCTGTTGCTGCAACTGTACTTTCTTTCTAAAAGGTTAAGAAGCCTGTAGTTAGAAGACAGCTTTTGTGTCTTTCCAGTTGCCCTAAATATCTCTCAGTTACTTTGAAGAACAGTTTCTTCATAAGGAGCTGTTTCCTGGTCTATGCAGCAGGAAAGTAAGATCCTTTCATTGCAACAGCTTGAACTTTGCTTTCTTTTCCTTTCTATCAGGTCATGGGCTGAAGCTTTAAAAGGAATCTGTTGGAAATTTTGTGCTAGCTGAGAGCCTAAAGGGCCTTTCTTTATTAAGTGACAGCTAATATAGTAAGAAAGGGATGACTTTTTCATCATCATCATCGTGACAGAAACAGCTGAACAGAGGTTCCCTTCATGGGAGCATAGGTAATGTGTTGTTACTCAAAAGTAGTTAATAGAGGGCTTAAAACCTGTACTGTAGAAATCTTCTGAAGAGTAAAAGCTTGTGTGCGTGAGTTATGCTTCATGCAATATGAGAGTAAGCATGACTACAGCTAGATGCCTGCCTCTAAGGTTCTTCCTGGATTTTTCTTCTAATAAATATTAATGAGTACTTAGAGAACTTATCTGTACAATCATGTGAAAAGACTGTAAAATTTGGGAACTAGTCAAGGAACAAGGTTCCCTTTTAGGGTTTGACAACTGATGATGGATAAGACAGCGTATTTTGGACAGTTTCAGCCTTGCTTGTCGTACTTTTTTTTGATACTTCTTTTTTTTGCAGAGAAAGATCCTGAACTGAAGAAGGATCTTACCTACCAACTTCAGACTGTTATCTTGATAAGCTCTGTCTCTCAGGGTCTCTGCTGGCTGTGCTATATATTAGTTTCTTTGCCTTAGGGAAGTAAAGACATGCATAGTTTTTTTTTTTTGTTGTTGTTGTTGTTTTTTTCAGTTTGAGTACACTGAACCCAGAGAGCTAATGTATGTTGCATAACAGAGCATGATGAATATGTGTAGTGTATTTTTTTTTTGCTGTTGTTGTTTCGACTTGAGAGGGAAACTCCCTTTTTGTTGCAATAATAATTCCCATGTTTATTTACTTGATTTAGGACATGAGCAAGTGGGATAAGAAGAGAGACCTGTGTAGAACATAGGAAGCACGTATTGTTTGCTATCAAGTGCCAAGACTTCCAAATGAAGATTCAGGCTTGAATTATGTCTACTTGAAATATTTGAAGATATTTTCCTACCTGCCTGAGAGTTCCCCTCAGTCCTGGGTGTTCTCTTCTGTGCCCTCACAGGCTTTCAGACATGCTGGGAGTAGTAACCTTCTAAATGACTGTGCAAAGTCAGTGTGTAGTGCCTCTGATTAGATTTGACAGAAAAGGAGGATGGTAGTTGTGGGAAATACCTAGTAAGAGAATGTGAAAAAGAAAGGTTTAATTATTTATTTTTATTATTATTATTTTCCTCCAGAGCCATAAATGCTTATACATGCAGAGCTTTGGTGAATTTAGCAGCTGGTATTCTTCAGTCCTTGGCTGTCTCTTACTCTTTCCACATCTGACTGTCTAAGCAGATTATCAGTCCCACTCTCTTCATATAAAATTGAATTTAATTTGATCTAATGATTCAATGGACCTTTTTATCTATAACATAGAAATCTCCTGGCAGAACAATTTCTTTATGAAGCAAGAAATGACAAAACATTTAAAAAAGAAAGGCTCCTCAGTGCTCTGTAACTTTTTTTTTTTTTTTATAGAGGTCTTACTCATACTTTTCTATTTCAGTGATCTGTTACTGTTCCTCATTTTATTGTGAGCTATATTTTAAAACAAATAATGAGATGACATACTATGAAAAATGCTAATTACTCATGAATTTCTCTTGCTGGACAAGAGCCCTTGAAAACTGATGCTTCAGTAATAAAAAATAGTGTTTGCTTAAAAAAATACACACATAAAACAAACAAATAATAATAATAAAAAAAAAGTTTCAATGGATAGTTCTGAATTTCATGCCATGAAACTCTAAAAACCTATCTTGTTTAGAACTTGAAAGGAAGTTGTAAGCAAGAGACGCATAAAACTTCAGGAGTAAGTGAAACTCTGAATGCTGTCAATAAAACTAAATAACCTGGTGAAGAACTTTAAATGCTACAAAACACTGACACGATGAAGAACATCTGATTATAAGGTAAGTCAGAGAGTTTTAGTGTGCAGCATCATGAGATGTCCTTCTCACAAATCATTCACCATTGTAAAATTAATTCATTGTCATATTGGGTATGTAAGATTTCTAAATCTCTTGGCTTGGGACAATCTAAAGAAGGGAAGGATATTTGTCCACCTTCTCTAAATCTTGAGATTTTGTTGAATGTTTTGAAATTTTATTTGGATTTTTTTTTTTTTTTAAGAAGTAAACTGTAAGTTTGAAATATTTGAAGAATTTAATAACATTTATATTTGTCTCTTATTAGTAGAAATAAAACATTGCTCTGCAATTTCTCATTCTCCTGTGAGAACGTGGAAATAATATGGAAATGTTAAACAAGGAACAAAAGTGCTCCCTTACATACATTCAATAAATTGGGTCGTTCTAGGTGACTGAAACTGAAAGCTGACAGTAAAGACTGAACAAGAATTAGCTAAAATAGTATCAAAAATATGCATTTTTTCCTATAGTAAGCAAAATTTGTTTGGTAATTATTTATTTTTATTTTTAAATAAACATTAATGCTGAGTACTGTAATACTAATTATTCTATTTTCATGTTGTGTGTCTTTATTTTTTTTCCTGAAGTAGAATTTATTCCAGTAACAAAATGTCCCAGCAAGCATGAATTCTTATAGCATTGGATAAAAAAAAAAATCAATAATGAAGTTGATTTCTGATTTCCTAGAAGGCTGCTACATAGTGTCATTTAGATTGTGCTCTGGTTGGAGGAATATTTGTCACTATTGCAGAACTTGTTTTAAGAACAGAACTTGCAATTCAAGAGAACTACTTACTAAAATTGTTGACTTTTAAGAAAAACTCCCCCCATTCTTAACCACATAATATAACTTTGTAAAGAAAATATTTGGATTCATAGAAATGCTCTTTATGTAGGCAGTGATTCTATCTCCCTCTTTTATTTTAAAACAGGTAACTAAATTTCTAAATAATAGTAGATAAGCCTGCAAGCCCTCAGTGATTTGTTAGAAAAGAGCTACTGCTTAGTGATTTTAGACTTTGACTTCTGGACCAAGCTAATGTTTCCTGTTAGTTTGGGCCTCTAAATTTTATTTATTTATTTATTTATTGTCATAAAGTCAGCTGTGGTGATTAGCATCGACGTTGGAGCATCTTGCTTAGCCCAATTCAGAGATGAGCCATCACAATGGAAAACTGCATGCATTCTTGCATCAGTATGGATCATGAAGTTTCATGGTGGTGCTTTTCTTTCTCCTGGATTGTATGGATAAATTTTCCAGCAACCAAGCAACACACAGAGTAACATCTCATCCTGCACTTCCATTTTGGCTTAATACACGTATGTGAAGTGTTTGCATTGGTGTTTCTGTTTGTAGCTTGAAACGCAAAAACTTAAATATATATAAACAGTAAATTATTTGTTAGTATTAGTCTTAAAAATTGCAATTCCTCTGAATAGCAAAACTTCTGTCATTTCAAATTCATTTAATAAAACATTGAGGCTAAATGTGGACAATCTATGCCACTGCCATTCTAGAAATTGAAACTTTGGCCTTTATTAGCTCTGACCAGATATGTGGTCAACAGACAAGAAATAATAATAAAATGCACTACTCTAAATTGTCCCCTTGATTTATTTATTTATTTTTATTATGTGTTATGGTCTCCTGGAAAGATCTTGTGTACTTTCTTCTGTCTTTGGGAAACTGTATAGTAGACAAAATTATGTCAGGACTGTTTTCATGATTGATGTGTAAAGTGCTAACTTTGAGAACCCAAAAAAAACCAACCTTTTGGGATCCCAAAATGATTTTTCTGTGTACACACATGAATGCATTCTTTCATACAAGCTAGCATTTGGAGGAAGTCTGGAAGCTTGTATTATTTCTTTTGTTTCTGTAATAAAGGGCTGTGACATTTAAATATACAGATTACTTGTTTAGTAACCTAAAATAGTGATAGTCTTAAGCCTGGGTTTAATAGCTAATCAGGCTTAATTAAGCCTGGACATCAAAAGAAAGATGCTGTATTCAAAATAATAGATAAACAACCCATATGCACAAAGTAGTGGTAAGTTCTGGAGCTACTCAGTGGATGTTGCTTAGTAATTTTAGAGGAAACATTTTGCTCACTTTTTGGAATAAGTCAGTTAAAGAAATGTAATGGTGTTAAGACTATGACAAATTTAGGGTTGTCTTTGAGGTATGTAAAAGCTGCTTGTGATGCAGCTGGATAGGTTTATGAGGATCTTGGAGATTAATTCAAATAAAAGAAAGATTGTACAACATTCTCTTGGCCCTAAGTAATGGATTATGTGTAGAAAATGTAATGGTGCTGCAACAACAAATAGATCAACTGAGAGAACACCCTTTGCCTGAAGTGTCTTTAAAACTGTGAGTGTGAAGTTGGATGATGAATTGAATAATCTACTTCAAAGGACAGATATATAGTATCTGAATATGAAAAAGCATAAGTGCATGAGAGCATGTCACAGCCATATGTAGTGCTGGCTGCTCACAGTGATAAACAGTTTACTATTGTCTTTGCCACCAACAGACTATGTCAATTTAAAGTCTGATGCTTCTTCTGTCTTATTTATTGGAGTCTGTATACAGTATAACATTTTGCAATGCCAATTGCTTAAGAATAACCCCCCAGAATTCATCTTTGGCTTTATTAAAAAATAAATCTATTGCCTTCAGTTCCTTCAGAAGCAGCTGCAGTCTTTATTTTAGATGCTTGCATGTTTTTGTTGTTTCTGATATGTATAAAATATATGTGTTATTCCAACTTTAATTTCCTTGTGTTTGGAGGACTGAACAGTTTCATTAACATGACAATTTAATGTTCTTCAGAAAGTAACAGAATTCTGTTTGCATAAGGTGCAAATGGAAGCAAAGGTTTATTAAGTCTCTGGCTCCTATTTTTTGTGGATAGAGTCTGAGTGGATTTTTGTGTATGTGCTTTCTGATCAGGACAGGAAATAAAATCAAGCTTCTAATGCTAGATAATTGAAGCCCTTCTAAATTATCAGTTTATACAATGCCAGAACCAGGTTCTTTACATAAGTAGAAGAAAGAATGATTTTAAACACAGAGTGGACTTTCACCTTGTATTGATCATCCTGGTAAAGCTCAACATTTCCTCACAGCATCTCAATATAATTTTCTGCTCTGCATGGTTTAAATTTTTTTTTTTTTAATTATTCATTTTTAAATTATTCTTCAAGTAATCTATCTTTGTCTTGATTCTTTTTCTTTTGTCTTGGGGGATAAGAGTGTGGATTTTGAAACACTCCCTGTTATCTTCAGTTTGCATGCTTCTCTGCCGTGTCCTGCCCCTTGCCACACTTGTTTCATGGTTTTATCAGGTGTGGTTCACGCTGTGAATTATCTAAGAGCATCAAGATGCAACCTGTATGTGCTGCGCAGTAATTCCATTTCAGTCAGCCTAAGCTAAAACCAGATGATGACTCAGGCAAATAATTTTTGAGAAACCATCTTAAACTTATACTGAAATACCAAGGAGAGAAAAAATATTTTTTTGATCTTGGATTTTTTTATTTTTATTTTTATCTGCTTTACTTCACAGGCCTTATTCTCTAAGTTTGAATGCTCTTAATGCCCTTTAAAAGACAAACTTGCGATAGATAGTGATTTTTTTTTTTTCATTCCTATTTCTAACAGTCCAGTGGTCAGGATATTTGCTTTGGGGTAAAAGCAGACATTCAAATCCCTCCTGTAAGTTACACAGTATTTTTATGGAACTTTTCTAAATTACTATGCATTTATATCCACTATAATCCTTATAACTCTTGTGATTGCTCTGGGAATGCTTAACTTCTGATGTGCTGCCAAAGGAAGTCTAAGATGCTTTATCCATCATTTTGCTTAATGGTCTTTTTGTTTACTGTAACATAGGTGCTCTGTGATGCAGTTGTAGTAATGAAGGCAAAAGTATTTCGGGGTATTGTTCCTTTACAGACATACCCCAAATCAATACCAGCATTCCAGTCTTACTGACTGATCCAAACATGTTGCCTGACCATGGGTATTTCATTTTTAAGTATGCAAATACATGTAAAAAGTATTGTAATTGTTCTTTAAGTCAATTTCTTTCATGAGAATGTACGAATTCATTAGAAGTTGGCTGAGTGAATTGCTGTGAAATGTAAATGATTGGTTTTGATCAAAGTAAATATGTTACACCTACCTATTCCTTTGGTGGTTTGAGCTAAACCTTTTATAGGGCAGAGGTGATTCATCATCTTTAATATGTCTCTAAGAGAACTAGGAGCACCATTGAGATCTAGGTTTTTGAGAACTCCAGGCTTTACCAGATCAATGGACTCTTAGGCAAGGTATGTGAATTCCTTGTACCAAATGGTAAACAGAACATTCTGTTCTAAATGTCAAATATATTTTCAGGTTGTAAGCAGTAATCTTTGTGTGTGAAGAAAATAATTTTTAAATTTGGAACAATGGGATATGGACCAACGAATCCACTTTTTTTTTTTTTTTCTTTTTTTAATCAGGAATGAGAGGTAGTAAAGAGAAAGTTGGTGAAACTTCTCTAAACTGTTGGAAAGAAAAGCTCTTAACCAAACTATCTAGGTGCCATAAACTGAGTAAGACTTAAAAAGCTTGTTTTGAAACTCCTGCAAAAAAAGAGACAAGTTTCTGAATTATTACTGTCCCTAGTCAAAGTAATATAAGATTTATGTAACCATTCCAAAATACAAGATGACAACATTCGCGTGAAAGGTGAAAGACCAGTCAAGTAGGCTCTCGTAAACATTAGACACAGTAATTAAAGGCTTTTCAGACAGTGTTTCTTTGTATTAAGGAGTATAGCCTTAGGACTGTGTTTGTAGATGATATTATTTCTGTTGATAATAATTATCAATATTATGCTTAACAAATGTCTCTAAATGTACCAACCAAATAGCTTTGGTGCATACTGTTTTCTGTGTGGATCACATTCATTTGTCTGCTGGTCTGAAACCTTGGTAAATAAACTGATACACCATCTTTGACTAACAGGGGTAGAAGAAAAATTAAACATTTTTTATTTCCCTGGGATCGGAATAAACAGGCTCATGGATCAAGAAGAGAAGTGATGAATAACCTCAAGAACTCCCGAGACTTTAGAGAAACAGGTCTCTCACAGGTTTCTCTACCCAAAAGCTTTCTTCAAGCTTTAAGCCTTCTTTCTTCACTAGATACCTGATGTCTTCCATCAATAAGATCAGCTTTTTATTCTTAAAGACTCATGAACTCTTGTAGATAAGACAGAATAAAGAATTAAAGTTGTTATTTTTTTGTATCTTTGACTGGAAATAGTGGTCCTTTGCTGTTACCTTATTCATGTATATATAAAGCAAATACTATTTAAATAAGAATAAATGAATTATAGTCAGTTGGAAAACTGGTATACTTTACTTGTAAGACTTTATTAATACTTTATCAAATTGGTTTTATTTTGTAATTATGTAAATCACAGTGCCATGGTTCTACAGTGACTTCAACACAGTAACAGAAAATTCTGTTTATTATATATATATTTTTTAAAGTTGTTCTGTTAACATTTCTGGAAAAGGCTTTGCAATGATTAACACATTTCTATGCAGAGGGAAGGAACAATGTTGCTTCATTTATTGTGTGACAGTAAGGTCAGATAATAACTGCCAAAATAATATCTTCCATGATTACAACAAAGCTCTGTTTCCTGCTACAGGTGTGCTATTTCTGCAGAAAGAAAATCCAACAAAGAATTATTCTCTTACTATTGGAAGCATTGAAGTACATGCCTAATTTACAAGAGCTTTTGAAAATCTTTGGCTTTAATAGCAGAACTTGCTTAATTCAGCAGGGATCAAAACTCACAAAGACAGCTTGGTATGTCTTACTAATGTATAAAAATAATTATCTTGAACCAAAGACTCCTATTGCCAAGTATGTTTTTATCATCCTCTTAAAGAAAGAAAAATCTTGCATAGAGAGATGCAGATTTTGGTTGGAAAGTTAGCACACACTTTTCAATAGCCTAGTCTAAGTTGCTTGGATTGCTTTTTCTTCTGTCTCTTTCCTCATTTCTTTATCTCTTCAAGTAATCTACTTCTGTTTTCTTATTTATTAATATTCCACTGTTTATATTTGGAAGAAAGTCTGACTAGTTGTCCAACAATATGCTTCAGGCAACATTCAGACTGCATACTAATGAACTTTGTTTCCTAGAGTTTAAAATTCCTTCAGTTGGTGCCAGGAAATCTCTTTCTTCCCAAGTATTACAAATTCAGTAACATTTTGACTTTCTCCCTTTTTGCTTTCCAATGGTCCATGACCAGAGTTGGAAGCTTTTGCTTACAATCTTTGAGCATTCTGTTCTGTGTTTTGTGGGTGACTGAAAGCTCCATCTATTTTCAGTACTAGACTTCAGATTCTCTTACTGTTTCTTGCTGCTCATAGGCCTACTACTTTCTCTTTCTGATTTGCTTCATTGACAAATTTTGAGGAGGATTTCTTCATTCTCTCTCTCTTTTTTTTTTTTTTTTTTTTTTTTTTTTTCCCAAGGTTTCCCTTTAAGAGGAAAAGCAGATAGGACACAAGCTTTTTACAATTTTTTTACAATTGATTTTTAATTTAGTAGATTGTAAGCTTTGAACTCTCCTAACTGTCATAAGATGTGAACCAAATCCTGTGATGTAGTGAGAAGTTGTGTAGATGCTTTATGTAGTGTTGACCTTTTTCTGCCTCGATCCTGCTGGGAGAAAAGGAACCAAAAATTACTACATCATGCTGGAAAAATGCCTACTTACTGTCATTTGTCTAGTGCTGTTTATCTTCCTGATTCACCTTTTTCATAGATAAGAAACTGTAGTTGTGTATTCCTAGAATTGCTGTTAAAGTAAACAAACTTGTTCTGTGTGCTTCTTATCCAAGATAATTGCTAGCTCCAACTGTTAAACTTGTTGAAATTCTAGTGGCAATGGGTGTTGTAAATACTAGCTTTCTAACTAGCTTTCTACAGGGTATGAATGGCAGACTGCTTTTTCTCTTTTCTTTTTTCTTTCTTTTTTTTTTTTTTTTTTTTTTTTTGAACATGATGTACTGTTTTTAGGATTTAATGTTAAATCATTGAGTTACTGATTATACACTGTATATAGAATTTTTTAGCTTGATGTAAAACAGATATCAGGAAACATTTCAGAGTAAAAGAGAAGACTGGCAATCTGTTTCTGATTACAAATGATATATAGACTAAGCAAAAAAATATTTTTATAGTTACTAATGCTGCAGATTTTTTATATATTCAAAGTATAAAATATAGCAAGAAGGATAAAATAGGATCTATTCTTTGAATTAATAATACAGTGAATTATAGAAACAACAGAAAAAGAGATTCAATTTCCTTGATCACATCAGGCCAGGTTATGGAGTACTGGAACTAAATAAATCATTGCATCACTGCATCATTGTCAGTGTGACCAGAACTGAATATGATATGCGATCACCTTGTTGTTGATCAATCATTTTTTATTTACCCAAGCATGGTATTTCATGTCTCTGATTTTGTGAGAGTTTACAAAAACAACGTATCTTGATAAAATAATAGTCTTTGGTTTGATCAGTTGCGGTTATAGGATGAATAGTGAAATGGG